CTGAAAAGCTAGTGCCGCGACGCTACCATCTGTTGGATTATGACTGAACGCCTCTAAGTCAGAATCCATGCTGGCTAAGCAGTGTTTCTCATCGCCTCATTTGTTACTTGCATATTTTTCTAGTGCCTCGAGCACAACATCTCATCAAAGCCCCCCGCGTCATGCGCTGGGCTATAATCGCAATTTCGCACAATTGAGGCGCTACATCCATTGCAGACGACTTTGGCGCAACCAGGTATTGTAAGTGTGAGAGTAGGCTTGTCCTACGATCCACTAAGATTCAGCCTGCGTTGTACGATGTGTTCTTCCCTCAGCATATCCCGCTTGCTGGGCCAACTATACACATGAAGTCCATTGTTTTTTGATTAGCTGTATCATTTTGGTCATTGGGCTCGCCTTCTTAAGGTTTCCAAATCCCTCGTCACTCCTACGAGATTCTTAAGTTCTCCAAATCCCTCGCCCCTCTAACGGAATGCACTATTCGAACGGAATGCTTATTCGTATACGGATGACGTGGGATTGGCCTTGCATTCTTAAGCTCTTCAAATCCCTCGTCATTCTCACTGAATGAAATGTGGGTGTTGGGATTCCAACATCCGCTACATCCATTGCAGGCGACTTTGGCAAACCCAGGTATTGTAATTGTGTACGCTTTTCCTACGATCAACAAAGATTCAGCATGCGTTATATGATGTTTTTTCTCCTCTTCCTATTCTCCCTTGCTAGGGATAATGCCGATTGGTGATGGATTCCAATCGGTCCACATCACGACAAAGCCGCCTTCAGTTCATATTGACATTGGCGTGTATGGCTCATTAATAATATCTTACATCATACCCATCGACATTAGTTTTTGCTTTGCTCGCTTGCTGGGGGAAATAAACAGGTTTTATCCGCCGGTCGGGAGATGTCTCTGTCAGATTCACTTTTATTATTATCGATTGAATTCAATGTCTGCGTGTGCCTACGACTGTGCTGATGGTTTGGCAGTGATATTGAATGTCTCTCTGTTTGTGTTGATGGTTCTGTATGTGTCTGCGTGTGCGCTGGTGGGTTTGCTGCGAGGTTCATCTCAATGATTATCGATAGAATTCACACACTGTTTTCAAACGTCTATGGTTTTGTGTTTCTAAAGTACGCCGGCACGCTCTGGGGATGCAGATCTGGAGTATTCACGTGTGGTGAAGAGACCCCTTCCTCATGCTCCATTTGATGTATGTATTTTGCAGGTCTATTTACTTGTGGCGTGCTCATGACGCTGGTGCAAGATCCAAAAATAGTAGCATGTTTTGCTGTCGTTTCCTGTTGTAATCTAGATGCAAAGTGTACAACGCAGTTAATGTAACAGCAAATGCAGCCATTCGGGGGGAACTGTAGGAAGCCACTACGTATTCCTCTAGCGAAGGGTTGCAGGAACACATCGCGCCTCGGTGTTTCACCTAAACTGGAAGGCAACAGCTATCAACGGCATGCCACAAACTGGCAGAATGTAACCACGGCAAAATGGAGCAATGTTCTATTCCTCTGTAGCTCTTGTTTGTTTATACTCCTTAAGTGGCTCTACAACGGCTTCGGTGCGGTCAATACCACCTCCGTTCGACGGCTGCTGAAGGTGTTAGCGCCTGCTTTGCAGTATTGGCAGTTCTTCTTTGCAGTGAGCTCACAGGGATTCCCTCTCTTGAGCAAGGGCAGCAACGACCTTGTGTGTCGCCATGTCGGGGCTGGCCTTTCTGGCGGTAGAAATAAATGCATACACACTCCTGCCCTCCCGAATGCATGTACAGTTGTAGTCTACTCTGGTCTGCAGACACACTACAGCCCTGTGTCTTGGACAGTCGCCATTTCCCTGCAGTACCTCCTTGGGTCGCTGTTCATTATCTAAACACTGTCTAAACTGATAAACACACCTTGTTACTAGTGGATGCACTTACGTAATCGTAGAAGAGCTATATATAAGTGCAGGTGCTTTTAACTATACAGTAAACAAAGTAAAGGAATGGCAGACAAAAGCTTAAACATCTCAATTATCGCTCGGACACCCAACACCATACGAGCCTCTTGTTCTTCAGCTCAGCTGTCTCCTCGCAGCAAGGGGACAGTGTGCCCCCCTTTAACTGCCGCCTCACTAATGAACTCTGAGGTCAGCAGAAGGCTTCGCTGGATATACAGCGTCTGGTAAGCGCTGGCATAACTGGGATCGACGATCCCTCCGTAGAATTGGCGATCCCCTGGCTAAGATGGACGAACCCCTAAGTGGCATCGATGTTCCCCCTCTTAAGTCCATACAAGTTTGGGTCCCTTTTCGCCGTCTCCTTCAATGGCGCCTTCATACAGCGGCGACATCTCCCGCAGCCGCCGCACTTCCTTCACCAGCCTCTCCGCGCAGTGCCGCACCTCTTCCTCACGCGTAAACCGCCCTGCAGTAGCAGCAGCAGCACACTCAATTGTGGGAACTGCAGTCATGGAGGTAGTCGCAGCAGCTGTAGCAGTGGCAGTTATATATGCAGCGCAGAGCAGCTATAGCAACAGCGGCAGCATAAGTGGCAGCCGCAGCATCAGCTTACCGATGCCTATGCGAATTGAAGTATGAGCTGTTTCCTCACCAACCCCCAATGATCGCAAAACATAAGAGGGTTCCAAAGACTCGCTAGTGCATGCGCTGCCTATATACCACAAAAAAAAAAAACCCAACCTTCAACCCTACACTCCAAATCTTCAACGCCAAATAGTGTCTAGCAGCGCACCGCACATCCATGGATCCTACATCCCCCTACGACGACCGAAATGACTAGGGTATGGCTTGTCAAGGAGCTAGGGTCTTACCTGAACTCATGGCGATATCTCCAATGCTCATGAGAAGGGACTCTCCCTCAACAAAAGAAAAGGAGATGTTTAGATTTCCTGGATAGCGGTTACTGAGGCTGCCGTTGACCGAGATGTGTGGCAGCTGCTGCTGCAGCTGCTGCAGCAGCAATTTGGAGAGACGTTCAATATGTCGCCTGTCGCTGTCCATACACTCCAACGACAACGAAGCTGCCGCCCCTAACCCCACAATCAACGGGGTAGGCAGAGTACCTGAGAGCAACAGTTGATATCACTTTGCAACAACCTATTATGTAACATCTTTTATATTTCATGATAATAATAGATTTGAGTGCAAACAAGAAGAATATAAATGTGACTGTTTCTTCCCCCCTCCGCCCTTTTCCGTCTCTGTCCAGTTACGTTCCTACCCCATATACCTACTATAAGAAAATATCTGTGAGGTTGTCTCTTTCTATACTTTGTTTTTGTCCCTCTGATTGCCGAGTTCTATTCTATAGCGATTACGTTTCGTTTCTCTGTCTGTTTTTGCCCTTACCACTGCGAAGTCCCCTTTCTTGTCCGCCACCATCAATAAGAGGGGCCAATCGTACTTTCTTTTTTTTGCTGCGGACAAAGAGTGCTCCTATACCCTTGGGCCCGTATATTTTATGTGCGGATAGAGAAAGAAGATCGATGTTCATATCTTCTACATCTATATGTATTTTGCCAAACCCTTGTGATGCATCAGTATGAAAAAAAACTCCTTTTTCTCGGCAAACTTCTCCAATAGAACGTAAATCTTGAACAACCCCTACTTCATTATTTACATGCATTACAGATACTAGAAGTGTTGAAGGTTTTATAGCAGCAGCAACATCAGCAGCAGACACTAAACCCTCCCTAGACACCGGAAGAAACGTTACTTCTGCACCACGAGAACCACCAGACAATAACCACTCCATGTGCAGCAAACGGCAACATTGTAGCACACATTTGTGCTCTATCTGCGTTGTTATTACGTGGTTCTTCCGCACCCGCTGCGGCTTTTGCTGCTGCTGCAGCTGTGGTTGTTGCTGCTGATCCGCACGCTGCTGCTGCTGCTGCTGCTGCTGTTGCTGTTGCTGCTTTTGTCTGAGAGCATGCTGCTGCTCTTCAAACCTCACAAGACCCTTAATGGCTAAGTTGTTGCTTTCTGTTGCCCCCGAGGTGAACACAATATCCCGACTTCTAGAAGCCGGTAAACCCAATACACGGGCTACTGCCTCCCTGCAGCAACCAATAGCAGCAACAAGTAGCAGACATACGTTATATTCATATATATAATACATAATATAGTATATAAAGTATATATAGAATACGATATACATAATACATAAGATAATACATAAGATATGTGTATTGAGGTCTATATAATAATGTCTTACCTAGCTTTCTCTACTTCTCTTTTTGCCTCCCAACCAGCAGGATGGGAAGAAGAGTGTGGATTACCAAAACAATCAACATTAAATGCCATCATTTTATCTAAGACACGAGGATCTAATGGAGTTGTTGCCTGATAGTCTAAGTATACAGGTCGTGCTGCTATACGTCCATGTCCTCCACCTGCTGCTGCTGCTGCTTCTGCTGCTGATGCTGCTGCTGCTGCTGATCCTGGTTGGGATGTTGATGATGATGAGGGGAACGTAGCAGTTGCCTCTCCTTCTGATGCTGCAGATGATGCTGGTAGGGGACCATCAACAGCAGAAGAAGAAAAGGAACGCCTGCCGATGGGGTAACGGCAGCGATAAGCAAGACTACGATGTGCTGCTATTGCTGTTGCTCCTGCTACTGCTCGTGCTGCAGTTGCTGTCGATGCTGCAGAGCAGTTAGGATAAAGGGTAGTAGGAAAGCGATTAGAGAGGCACCATAATGACTGATGTTCTTTCTGCTCAACTCGAGGGTTCAGATGTTGCTGTTGTTGCTGTTGATGTTGCTGTTGCTGTTGTTGCTGTTGATGCACGTTGCGCTGCAGCAGGCGCCTTCTTGCGTGCTGCAGCGCATGCCTCCCATGACGGTAGCTGCTGCATGTGCAGCAACGAATGGCCCCGTTAAGCATCGTTGTTGTACTGTAGCTGTTGCCGGTTCGTGAGGGTTCAATATGTATCTCTTTTCCTCCGTTGTTGCAGCAGCAGCTGCTGCTGCATCCAGGCTTGCGGTGCTAGTATATCGGGCAGAACGCGACTCTTCTCGCGGTCACCACAAAAAAAAGGAGTTATAATTAGAAGAATGTAAAATTGAGAGAAAGAGGGAGCAGTGGGCAGTGAAAGCTGCGGCAGCTGTCTGCATACGCAAGACTGTACAGCAACAATACCTTGATGACCATACACACGAGACGCCTGCGTCTTCTGTCTGTTACTTCAGATGCTTTTATGAACACATTTAACTAATTAAACACAATTTATTTATTATCTATTTGTTTAATCGGATCTTACGCGCAACAAACGTGGCGGCGCTACCGTGCTGAGCGACAGCCCGTGGGGCTTTCTCTCTTCGGGTGTAAGCACAGCTGCAGCTTCTGCTCCATTTCTGCGTTTCTTTAGCTCCTTCCCTCGTTTTACGCATCATCTAAGTAGTTCTTGCTGCATAAAGAGAAGAAGACAAGGACGAGGCAAAAGGGACCTTCGCCCTGCCCCCTAACGCGTGCCGGTCTTCCGTCTCACTGACAGATACAGCAACAGCAGCATGGACGACACGAAGAGATCGATGTTAAAGCAGGAACAGTTAAATAGAGAAAACACTATCAGAGCCATAAGGACAACACATGATAGGAACAGGAGAGGTAGAGTAAAGAATAATACCTGTCCTCACACAGCAAATAAGTTCTTGTGTTAACAATTATATCATATGTTGGCGGCACAAAGAGCTCTCCGTTGGCATGCCTTCGCAGCTACCAGGCACACAACGTAGCAACTGTTAACAGAGACTGCAGTAAAGAAATATTTCTCGTTGTGCCCCCATAATAAACTGGCCTACCTATACTCCTCCCCCAGGGATCTACAGGAAAAATTGGATACTGGGGGATGTGCCATTAGCTGCCTGAAGGAGTTTTTATCTAACGAATTTCTTATCCACATGGTGGGCCTTTATTACTTGTAGTATAATAACACAAGAGTACAGACAGTTTAGAGTGTATAGGCAGCGTACAGCGTTATTATAAGGAACATTGTACGTGTGACGTGTCACAACAAACACTTGTGAATGAGTAGGGCAGATATTATTATTATTATTATATCTTTATTTTTATTTTTATTTTTATTATTTGTTTGCTTTGTCTATATGACACACAATAAAGGTCTAGAAGAAACAACCAAACATGGACAAACAAACAAACACAGCATATACAAGAAGGAGAAAACAACAGAAAAAGTCTGTCTGCCTCCTAAGACGTAATAGAGAGGCTCTTTGCATGCACTGCAATTTTCTTGCTGTTGTATGCTTATTCTTTTATGAAGGGAAAGCTCTAATGGTCTATACATCCCCTCCCTTATAGCTGCGGATACCCCATTTTTCCGTGTATAGGAAAGGGGGAAAAGAAGATATATAAAAGATCTAATGCTACAAGCAGCTTACGTGAACTGCAGGTATAAACGATTATGCATGCAGTACCTGCGTCTGCATCCCTGAGGTGTGCAGACGCCTCAAGAAGTTCGTGAACCCAAAAGAGACTATTATGTGCGTCGGGGTGTATGTACACCTGAAGAACGGCTGCAGTGAAGGGCTTCTTGTCTGCAGCATGTTTTTCCCCGTACTGTTGCTTAATTGTTCCTTATTGAAGGTTTTTGCTGCCAAGGGTTAGAGGTCTGTGCTTATTTATATATAAGTATGACTGTGTTATGCCCTACTAACACCGCAAACGGCGAAGGCCTTCCTGCAAGGCTGACTCCAATGAATGCCCATTCTCTCGTTTTTTCTCGTCTTGTCTTGTCTTGGCTTGTGGTGTCTTGTCTTGTTTTATTTTATTCTAGTATTTATTGTTTTGTCTTGTTGTTTTATTGTTAGGGAAAAGGCTGGTCCAAGAAGACAGAGCCTGTCTGTCTCCCTTGTCCTTAATCATAATCTGTCTGCCTCCTGTTTCCCTAATTAGAAGGTAGGTCTTCGGGGGGTGAAGGATACAGGGGCAATAAACAAGAAAAAGGACTTCGCCTCCTTGTCTTCATTTGTCTTATGCTTGTCATGGAATGGCCACTATGCGTTTATCCCATTTCGTCCATTTGCATTTTCTGTAGCTAAAGCACATGCGCCGCTTAACACTGGCGGTTCTCCTGACTCAGGCTCAGCAGCAGCAACACCAGCAGCTGCTGGTGCAGCAGCTGCTGTTGCTGCTGCTGCTGTTGCTGCTCTTTCCCTTAGTGTGTGGGGGCTTGCGTCACTTTGCCACTAAGTCACTTAAGACAAGATGAGTGTTTGTCTATCCCATTCGCTACAAGCTTGTGTTTGTCTGCACTAGCAACGAAGCACTGCAACAGCAGCAGCAACAACACTGGTTGCTGCTTTCTGCTGCGAAACAGCAACAGCAAGCGATGTGCGGCTGCGCGCTGTCTGCTAGGGGCGCTGTGATGGCAGCGTCGGAATTGCCTCTTAAATAGACGATCTGTTCAATAATAAATACTTCATCTAGTAAGAAGAGACGAAGAGAAAAAACCTACAAAAGTAGCAGCAACAAATGGTAGCAGCAGAGTGATCGATCAGCAGCAACAACAGGAGTGGCAACAGATCGTGCCCAACCCTGCGTCTGTTCGTCGTCAAATTGCACCAAAAGAAGAACGCTGTTTAAATTAAAACCATATTTAGACTATTTTAATGCAGGTTCTGCTGCTGCTGCTGCTGCAGCTGTCTACAAACACTGCTGCTACTGGTACTGGTACTGCTGCTGCGAGAGCGACGCGAACCTATCAGGTCACCCGCTGCTTCTTGTAGGGAGCCTAGGATGTGCCGAAGTCTTCTTCCCCTTTTTATTATATTACATTGGGAAAATTAATACATTAAGATGTAATTAAACACAAGAAGAAGGAGAAAGGCAGCAAAGGAAGACCCCCATAACAAGGGGTCTCAGTAGTCCACAAGGCACCGGTTGGCGTGGGCTTATACTGTTAATAGCACTCGTGCTTATCACGCTGGTGTGTATGGCGTGTCTCTTTGTCTTTCTTGTTCCTTTTATCTTATTTTCCTTCTTCTTTGCTTTACATATTCTAGTGCTGTGAAGAAGCAGTAGACACACCTCTGTATGTTGTGCTAGGGCTTCGATCTTACGCGTGAGGCCGCGAGCGGTGTTATGCTAGGGTGTATGTTAGGGTAAGAAAGAGGGTTATTATGTTGTTTTTGTACTGTATTTTGGTGTCAATTAAGGCGCATGTTCTTGCTTTTATGTAGGGAGAAGAAAGAGGCAAAACGACCCCTTGTTATACCCTCTTTAATGCCCCCTACTTGCTGCTGCTCCTGCCGGTGCTCCCGCTGCTTCGCTGTAGCGTCGCTCACTACGCAAGCCGCAGCGCTTCCTGCTGCCTTCCCTGCTGCTTGTCTTCTCCTCTCCTTATTTTTTTCCGTTTTCTTCCTTTCCTTTTCTTCTTATTTACTTTTAATTACCTCCTGGCTCGTCTCCTGGCAAGGCAGACGTGCGTTGCCTCGAGACACGCGCAGCAGCGGTTGCAGCTTCCTGCGACAAAGCTGCATCTGCAGCAGCAGGAGGAGCTGCAGCAGGAGCAGCAGCAGGAGCAGCAGGAGCAGCCTCATATAAAACTACCTTTCCTAGTAAAGAAAGGAAACACTCTTTCTTTACAAATGGAGACACCCAACATTACAGACACAGCGCAGCGCTTGCAGGGAGCTTCCCTTGATCGCGGCGACAAGCCCGCCGGGCAGCAGCAGGAGCAGGAGCAGCTGCTGCTGCAGCAGTTGCAGCAACAACTGCTCTTGCCACAGGAGGAAGATCTCGAGCAGCAACGCGGACAGCAATTGCAGCAGCAGCTGCTGCAGGAGGGATGCTTGCAGGATGATGAGGCGGCGGTACAGGGGACTGCGACGCCACAGTCGCCACAGCAGCAGCAGCAGCAGGAGGAGGAGGAAGGGCAGCAGCAGCAGGAACAGCAGCATCAGGCTGCTAATGAAGCCTCTGATAAGCTGACACAACATCTGGTACGTCTCCACGAGTTGCTGCTGTCTGGCCGCTGCGACACCAAGATGCAGCAGCTAATCGATGCCGCTGCTGCTGCTGTTGCTGCTGTGAATGCCTCGCATGCGGAGGTCCCCAAAGCGGCTTTCTCTGGCTCCAACAGCAGCAGCAGCAACGGCAGCAGCAGCGGGGGAGACAAGCCGCATGCGCCTTTTGGCTCGTCTCTCGATGAGCGCTTTTTAGGGACAGGACTTCCTTCTTGCAGAGACAGGAGTTACCTGAGCAGTAGCCAACAGCAGCAGCAGCAGCAACAGCAACAGCAACACTGGCAGCGGGCTATAGCTCGCCCCGACTGTGTGCGTACCCCAGATACATATGGAGACGCCCTGGGGGGCCCCCCACGGGGGGCCCCTCCTTTATCTGTGGGTGCGTTACCTGTCTCCAGTGTCCCCTCAGGCCTCTCTCAGGGGCTTTCCTTTGGCAGTCCCCCTGGGGGCCTCTCGGGGTCCCCCCCTAAGCCCCTTGCATCTCCGCTTAGCCGCAGCGCACCTCTCCTCTTTAATGGAGACAGTATGGTTTGGGACTACTACAACAGCTGCACAACAGCAGACGAGCCATGGGGACCACCTCCAGCAGGGGGTGGGAGGGGTTCCCTTACACAAGAGCTGGAGCAAGGTGCTTGCGGTCCTCTGTCTTCTGGTGCTGCTGGGGGCCCCTTTAGCTGCCTTGGAGGGGGGCGGGGCACCCAGGGGGCTTCTTTGGACAGGAGGGTATCTCCTTTATACCCCAGCAACAGCAGCAACAGCAGCAACAGCAGCAGCAACAACAGCAGCAGCAGCAGTGCAGCGGCAGGCGAGGCTGCTGCCTGTCTGTCACCTCGCTTTCGCCTCAGCCCTATGGTACTGAATGCTTACCAGCGTAGGGGCCCCCTGGGGGCGCCCTTGGGGGGCCCCTTGGGGTTGCAGGGCCCCCCTCGTGCCCATTCTGACTTTAATCTGCATAGGTCAGAGACAGCTGCACGGGGACAGCGGAGTCCTCGGCACAGTTTGGGGGCCACAAAGGGGCCCCTTCCCTTTAGCAGAGGGGGCCCCCAAGTTGGCGTTGAAGGATATTTGGACGCCGCACAGCAGCATTTGCAGCAGCACCTACAACAGCACATCCAGCAGCAGCTACATCCCCAGCAGCAGCATTCGCAGCAGCAGCAGCAGCGCCGTATGAATGGTGTATGCAGTGGTGTTGTATCTCGTGGTGTATCTCGTGGTAAGCAGGTGTTTTACTATTGCCCTTCCTGCTTAGAGGCATTTCCGTCCTCTGCATTGTCTTTATTTGCTGCTCATGTATCACAACGAGGTCATGTAGTGCAACAGCTGCAGCGGCTGAGGGGCCCCGATGGGTACTTTCAATGTCCGAAGTGTACATGCAAGGGAAGCGATCTCTTAGGCTTACTAAGACATTGGCATGAAGGAGGCGCAGCACACCACGGACAAAAAATACTTAAACATATCAGGACGAAAGATGTACCACCAGGTTTCCATGCTATTGAACCTCTACAGCAGCAGCAGCAACAGCAGCAACAGCAGAGGCAGCAGCATATTCAATCACAAGCACAGCAACAACAGCAACAGCAACATAACTGTAATACACAGTTCCATGCGAGACATGGTGTGCAGTCTGCCGCTGCTGCTGCTTCTCCATTAGAGGCACAGCTTTCACTACTGGGGGCGCTGGCTTCCTCATCACAGGACACACGCAGCAGGCAACCACTGCAGCAACAGCAGCAGCAACAGCAGCCCCTGCAGCAACAGCAACAGCAACCTCTACATATGCATCAACAACAGCAGCCAATACACCAGCGGCACCACCACCACCAGCACGCGCAGCGGCAGCACCATACACAACAGCAACACCTACCACAGCAGCAGCAGCAGCAGCAGCAGCAGGTGGAGCAGGAGGTGCAGCACTTGGCAGGCCCTTCTTCGGGGCCTCAAGGCGCAATGATGGGGCGGCCTAGAGAGGAGTCATCACATCCCCTCCTCAGCCCCACCCGCCGTGTGGGGGAAGGGCCCCCCGGGGGGGGCCCGGGGGGCCCCAGGCTAGGGGCCCCCTGCAACTCCCCGCAGCAGAGGGGGAGTTTAGCCACAGAGTTCAGGAGCACAACAGGCAGCCAGAGGAGCAGCGCACTCAGCGAAGCTAGTGAGGAAGTGCCACATCCGAACGAACAGCAACAGCAGCAGGAGCAGCATGAACAGCAGCAGCAGCAACAGCGCGATCAGCAACATGGGGAGGGGTCCCGTCAAGGAGCAGATATGGTAGCTCTTGTGAAACCCCACGTTGGAACAAATGCGACAGCTATAGTTGGCGGCCCCCGCAGCAACAGCGTAGGCTGTGGGGGGCCCCTCAAAGGAGCAGCAAGTGCTTCTAGCTACGGCAGTAGCCGTGTTTGGGGTATGGGGCTGCAGCAGCAAAGACCTGTCCCGTTGCACCTTCAGCAGCATCAGCAGCAGCAACAGCAGCAGCAGCATGAGCAGCATCAGCAGACTGGGTTCACCTTTTCTGCTGTTGACTTCCCGTCTCTGAAACCTAAGCCGAGCTTGAGCTTGAAGCAACAGCAGCAGCAGCAACTGCTGCTGCTGCAGGATGAGCAGCAGCACCCAACTCAAGGAGGAGCAGCAAATGGCTGCTTTCCAAGTAACCCCTTGTCTTTTGGGATGCTGCTTCAGGGACGGTGGGCAGCAGAACATTGCCCCTTGCTGCTAGGTGCAGCCACTCAGCAGCACCAGCAGCTGCAACAGCAGAAAGAGCAGCAGGAACTCAGCCAGCAGCAGCTGCCGCAAGAGCAGCAACCGCTGTAGGCCTGTTCAGCATCTTGTGCTACCGCTGCTGCTATTGCTGCATCGCGCGTGCTGCATGTGAGGTATATATGCAGCTAAGAAGGAGTTTGCAGGAACAGTTGACGCTGTATTTGTGCGGGGAGTAATTGGACCTGTAGCAGCGACGCTTGATGCTGCAGCCGCTGCAGCAGCAGCAGTCAGCGGAGCTGAAACTACCCGCACTTTCCTCTTGGGGCATCTTGTAGAAACAAGAGAGGCCGAGGCAGCGCAGACACGGGGTGTCCTCATGGCTTTTATTGAGGTTCACAGTGCATCCGTGGCAGCAGAGGCAGTAGAAGCAGCAGCAGCAGCGGCGGCGGCGGCAGCAGCAGAAGCACGTTCTAGGAGCAGCATCCCTGAAAGCTGCAGCAGCAGTATTATTAGGAGGGACGCCTTCAGGAAGAAGGAGCATTCAGCGCTGCAGCAGCGGTAGCAGCACCACGAGTAGTGGTAGCATCTCGACTTATAGGAGCTGCAGCAAGAGCAGCTGTAGCAGCAGCAGCAGTAGTAGTAGTAGTAGTAGTGCTTTCAGGGATCCCTTTTAGCAGACTAGCAGTACACACTGCAGCAGCAACAGCAGCACCAGCCTTAGCAGCTGCAACAGCAGCAGCTACCCCTGGGAAGAGCAGCAGAGCTGAGGGCTGCAACAGCAGCAGTAGTAGTGGCAGCGCTGATATCTAAAATTAGAAGCATTTGGAAGGAGAAGCAGCAGCAGCAGTGACGACTGCAGCGGCTGCAGCAGTAGAAGCAGTGGCAGCATCAGGAGAACCTGCAGCAGCAGCAGCAGGAGTAGAAGCAACGGCAGCGGCACGAGATGCAGGAGTATAAAATGGCGGCGTATAGGAGGAGTCCGTCTCCTTTTTTTGGTTGGTTATTTGCTGCTGTTGCTGTTTCCAGATGGTTTCCCAGCAGCGGCAGGAGCAGCAACAGCAGCCACAGCAGCAGGAGCAGCAGAACAGCAATGGCAGCATCAGCAACAGCAGCAACGAGCAGCAAGAGAGCGCTAGCTTGCCTTGCACATGCTAATGCCCATTCCGTGTAACACTCTGCGTTGAGTCTGTACAGCTCCCCTGAAGCAGCAGCTGCAGCAGCAGCAGCAGCAGCAGTTGCATTGGCCCTTCCCGCCTTTCTTCTTATTACACCACAAGGGGACTTCCTCAGTGGTTGGCGCCGCATGGTGCAGTTGGATAATGATGAAGGCAGTAGTGCAGGAGCAGCAGCAGGACCACAACCAGCGGCAGCAGCAGCGGCCTTAGCTGCTGCTGCTGCTACAGTTTAATAGTTGTTTTGTAAGCTGGAGGAGAGACTGCAGCAGGCGTCTCTATAAAGAGTCCCCAACCCCACATACATACATGTGTCCCTCCCCCATAGGAAGCTGTTTTGTAAGAAGCAGCAGCAGCAGCAAGCATTTGGGGTGTATAGGCAGATGCTTAACACCTTAACACAGTTGCTGCTGCTGTCTTCCTTTTATACACACGTTGAGGTTCCCCTCCCATATATACACAGGGGGCCCCCAAGAAGCAGGCAGGGGCCCCCTTTATGAACCTGAGGGGGCCCCCAAGAGGGGACCCCCAAGGGGCCCCCTTGGGGCTTTATATCGGCACGCTTTGCTGCATGGTGGCTCCCGATGGCTTATCTTAATAGAGTTTGAGTCAACATATATATGAAGAGACAGTTTGGTGTAAGGAGACAGTTGTGCATAAGGGGACAGTTGTGTGTATAGGGGGACAGTTATATATAAGGGGACAATTGTTAATAAGGAGACAGTTGTAAAGACTAATAGGGGAGAAGGGACGGACACTATATAGAGGGAACAGTGCATGAGTACCTAGGGGCCCCCTCAGTTATATATATCTACCTATAGATAGTTCAAGGGAATCTATATATATATATATA